TATAAATTTTTTCACTAAGAGGAAAGGATTGAAGAAGGATCATCAGTGGGCTCAACTGGAATAGCATCGCCAACAGAAGCGGGTTGATTTCCAACCATTGGAGTATCAATAGATGAAGTTTCAACTTGACTTGCAACAAGGGGCACGATTGAGCTCGAAGATGGTGCATCACCTGAGGCAATTCCAACGGTCATGGGGACATCAACTGCAGAAGTTTCAGTTAAGGGAGCCTCACTCACCGGAACTTCACCCACGGGAACATCAACTCCGGTAGCTTCAGCTTCGGAAACTTCAATCGCGGGAGAAGGGAAGTCCAGTGGTTGTTGAGCTTTTTCAATAGTCTCCATCACCTTAGCTAACTCTGAATCCAGATTAAAGTTTTCTTGGCTGGCTTCAACTAAGGCATCACAACGGGAGTTCAGAAAAGCCCAGCTTACATCAACTGCAACCTTATCTTCAAGAAGCTCATAATTTTTTTCCCAAGCAGCAATTTCATTTTTGAGACCTTCATTTTCATTCAGAGATGAGTTATAAGAGGCTTGAAGAGAGGCATGAGATTTTTCTAAGGCCTTCACCTGGTCTTTAGAAGTTCGCAGATTTTCTTGGGTCTGAGTCAAATTCTGCATCAAATCTCCAGCATAAACTTCTTTTTGACTTAAAAGAGCTCTCAGCTCTCTAATCTCTTCACTTGATTTAGATAATTGTTCTGAGAAAGAAGACTCGAGACGCTCTCTTTCTTTCTCAGTCCTGACTTTGAAGAAGCCTTGACAACCGCAAGCTCTGAAGTTAATGCTCTTACCTGCTTTTCCAGGTTATTTTTGCTCTCTTGTAAATCTTCTATTGTTATTTGAGCACTATCAAATTGGTCCTTCCAATTAGCTGCTTCCAACTGAAAGTCACGAGCTTCCCTCTCTCAATCACGTGCCACCTTCTCTAATAAAGAAATTCTGCTCATCAGCTCTGTACCAATAAGGTTGGCCTGAAAATGATAAGGAAAGAAAAATTAGAATTCTAGAAAAATTCTGGCAAAATTAAAGAAAGAAGGGGCATACCTTCAAGGTGGAATGAACTATGTCGTTCATCAGAGTCAGGCAGCTATGGCTATTCATTTTTTCTTTCTCAATTGGGCCTATTAAAGGTTCAATCCAAACATCCGCCTGACCGGATTTCCTCAAAAGGTTGTTGTTAGCAGGCACTTCGATAGTCACGCTCCTCATAGCAATCCTTTTACTTGTAGAACCCGCTTCTATATTGTGGACAGTAGAAGGAGGAGTGGTAGAAGAAGAAAAAACAGCAGCGAGAGGTACGGAAGAAGTTGGAGCAGATAAGGAAGGAACCAAAGGCACGACAGAAGAAGGAAGGGAAGGAACTGAAGATATGGGAGTTGAAGAGGAAGATAGGGGAGGTTCATCCAAAACGGGTCCTAACTCGCCACTCTCAAAACCACTAACGAAAAGCTTGTTAATCGACTCATGAGTATCATGAGGGGTAGCAACATCATCATCAGAGACGAGATTAACAGGCCCGGTAGGAGAAAGATGATGTGAAACTTCAGCTTCGTCAGAGACGATACATCTCCGAACTCTTGGCCTTCTCACCAAGGAACCATCCTCCTCTTCTTCGTCGGAGCTATCATCGTCTGTGGTTTTTCTTTTCAGAAGAATATCCTGAGCACTTTCTAAAGAAAGTTGGGTTCCTAAACGAGAAGCCGCAACTGCTTCAGCAGTAACACCTCGAATAGCAAAACCTGACAAAGAGAAAATTGAAAGTTAAGGCAATAAAGAGAAAAATTTTACATATGAGAAAGACAAAAACTCATACCGTGAGTCTTTACTTTCCAACCATGACGATTGGAAATAAATTTCCAAGACCTAGCCTCCATAGGAGCGATCTTCAATAATTTATCTACCCAACCACGAAAATTGGGAATGTTCTCTACAACTCCCATGGTTGCTAAAAAAAAAGAGGAAGCAAAGTTAAAGAAATTTGTAAATTCGAAAGAAAGAGGTACGGGAGAGATGAGAGACTTACGTGCAAAGTTCCACTTCTCAGGGAAGGGAACGTTTTGTTCACCCACTAAACTAATTGTGGGAGCATCAACAAATCGGGCATACCATCCACGATCCTTATCATCTTCTGGGCTCAGCAAAACCCTCTTACTCCTAGCCACTAAGGTAAAGACGCCATTACGAAAAAGTCTAAGGGAGTATAGATGAATTAGGTGGGAGAAGGTGAAATCAACATTTGCCAAATTGGCTAGATGCCTTAAACAAGCAACAGCCCTCCATACAAGCGGGCCAATCTGTGCTAAACAAACTTTGAAGAAACGACAGAAATCGAGAATTACTGGGTCGATAGCTGGTTTAAACCCAAGAGTAAAAGGGTATGTGTAAACGAAAGAGAGTCCAGTCATATATGAAGTAATCCTCTGATTTGGATTGGGGATTATAATGGGAAAATCGTTACTCTAGTGACAATCTTTGCGAACTATGGGAGCTAAAATTTCTGTAATCATAGTGGGGTAAGTATCAGCACGATCTAAACCAGAAATTTGGGTCTGAAGTGATTGTCTATCGTGCTGAAAAGATAAATCGTTAGGGACTATTTCTTCTACCAAGGGTTCCTATAATGGTTCAGAGGCCTCCTTGCTCTTAGAAGATGATTTTTGAGTAAAAGAACCTCTAGTTCTAGAGGAAGAACCAGGGCTAGGAGAAGGCATGGCAGAACCACCACCACGAGAGGATCCTAAGCTACAAAGTCTCCCACCCCTTCTATGTCTAACAGGGGCATTGGAAAAATTGTCTAAAATAGGAACTTTCTTAAGGTTAGGGTTCGAAGAAGACATGATGAGGAAGAAAAAGAAGTAAACAGAGATTCGCACAATTCAAGTGTTCGAGGAAAAAGTTTTATGTGGTAAAAGGTGAAAGGAAAAATTGAATTTATACTGATAGGCGACCGTCAAAAGTAAAAACGCAGTAATGGAAGGATCACAATAATGGTAACTGATACTTCATGAACAGTGGAGCTGAAAAGACAGCCTGAAAAAGTGTTGTAAACTGTGGAACCAATAAGAAGATGACATGTGTCTAAAGCATTAAATGGAAGTGATAATTGAAGCGTCAACTCCGTCAGAACATTAATGGTGACAAAAATTCTCCTTTAATGAATTCCACTTCCCAAATATTCAAACTGACGAATAAATGAAAAGTGGGGGGACTATCTGTATTGGAAAAAATTGTATTTATATATATATATGGTGACATGTCATGACACGTAGACTGATCAAACAGTCAAAGAATTAAGGTTGGTTAACAGACACGAGCAACAACAGATACGAGCAGCAACAGATACGAGCAAGTTAAATAAAGAAGGCACGAGCAGTCATACAAATAATACAACGCTCGTACCTATTCAAGACATTCAAAGGTTAAAGATCGAGAAGAGTCAAAGGAATGAATCTGACAGCAAAAAAGAGCTCAGATACAGCATTTAATGAGTATTAAATACTAGAAACGTTAGAGAATATGTATTTAATGTATATGATTGCATAACGTAACATTTAAGGTCATTAATTACCCATAATTATCTTATTATGACAAAGGTAAAGTCTGTATTCCCAAAACGGCTATAAAGGGAAAGTCACAAACAACTGTAAGGACACGAAAAAAAACACTACTGAAATATACTTTGATTAATTTGCTTTCTGATTATATCATTCACAAATCTCTTTCTTATATACTTTTTTCCGATTATCAGTAGCCCGAGTTCTTCTAAATTCAAGCTTTGACCTAAAATTTAATTTTCGGTTAAACAAGGAGGTGACCATAAATAGATATTTGACTATAAAAATCAAAAGGTAGCTATGGAATATAATTTTTTAAAGAAATATTTATTTAAAATAAATAAGGTATCAACCTTTGCTACGGGAGATAAAAATTCCTATTTTTATTTAGCATCCCGTTTAGTTAATATTAGAAAATTTGAATGGAACCATATGAATAGAGGAATCGCTAAAATCGACCCTAAGTTGTTTCCTCTGTTTATCCGGGACAAGTCCAACATATATACAGTCGAATATTGAAGAGTTTACTTCTTCCCCTGTAATTTAATGATGCCACTCTTTTGCTAAACGAGAAGAAGATAAGTGTAAACTTGTCGGTGGAATGATACCTCATCATCAAGCCACCTTGTTAGCGATAGATGTGCTAATTATTATGCTTAATTGGAACTTCTTTTTCTTGATCTAAGCGTTAACTTAACTATTTATTTTTTTAAAATATGTTGTCCACTTGTATATTAGTATTATATACATGATATTCTAGGCTAATGTGACCTTCCCAGTAGTAGCCATCGTATGTTCATGATCACAACGCAGCATTCTTGCTCAGCAACAACTTAGCATATATAATAGGAGTAATATAACTATGGCTAACAGGGTGAGGTGAGGCCTGATAATCAATAACTGAGGATATTATTGAGAGACAACAGTTCAAATACCAACGTAGGCAAAAAACGAAAAGTGACTTATTACTATTGAAATAAAAATGTATAGTATGGGTGTGAATGTAACAAAGCATCTAATTCTGATAATGTTTGGAGGAGCCTCAAGAAAATATTTTTCATAAACAATCACCTATCATCCTTATTTGAGTAAGAGTGACAATACATATTGACGCCCCACCAACTCATCATATAACGAAATCAAATGACATAATGTGGTTTCAATAATGTTGGTTAATTAAAATACATGCAACATCAACTTTAGAATTGAAAGCGACAATGCTTGTTGGTTTCACACCTATCTATTAAATTAAATAAATTATTGGATAAAAAATTATCAAGTATGTAAAGTCAATGTTTAATATTGTGATCTCAACTCTCAAGTGGCATGTATGTCGACATCTTTATTTGATTCTTACATGGAACACATATTCAGAAAGCTTAAGAAAAATTTAATTAAAAATTAGCTGAGCTTATCTGGATTTCAACACGTACGAAATTTCTGGATGTACAAACCACCTTTCTTGATCTTCTTTTGTTATTTTATAATATACACATACATTGATAGAAGTACATATATTCACATACATTAAAGATGTTTACAAGGTTGAGATGGAGGGGGATATCAGTATATGTACGCTTTTTTACATATGTAGTGTGGTCCAAAGACTAGACCTTAGGGTTTTGAAATAAATTAAGCACCCACAGCTGTGGTTGCAAGAAGTGAATCTAATTCGCTTCCTGTGCGTCTCATCTTTTGATCTTCTTCTTCCTTGAACCATATTGCTGGAACCACTTGAAACAGATCAGTCACCATCTCCAGTGCATAGTCCGCTTCTTTGGTTTTGGTTGTTCTTCCAACCTTCAATATGGAAATAAATAGGCAAATTAAGCGTTTATACCATTAATTCACACGCTAAATTAGCTACTCTATCAATTAGAATTCCAAACTATGGGAAATTTTTGGGGAAAGAACTTATCAGCAATTCGCATTTGCACGAATTTTAGTTAGTTAACTAGTACAAGATCGAGGAGCATTAGTAGCAAACTGAATTGAGAGCTTGTTTTTTTGTTCTTCCTTTAGGTGTTGTTTGGCATTGAACATCAGGTATAGGTAAAAAAAAAAAAAAAAAAAAAATTCTTTGTAGCCCCACACAGTTAAAATTATGACCCCTTCAAAGGATATACACTTCGATTGATGAAGATAAGGTAATCCGAAGCAGTAAACGGGTCACATGGTTTTGAGATAAGCACAAGTTAAAATATCCATTCTTGTCATATACTATACCTACCATATAGTACCATTACACCTGTTGAACTTTTTACAAGTTCAATCACCCAACTCTCGGGTTGGATGGGACAAATTTATACTAGTTAGTAACTTAAGGGGGGAAGGGGGTGGGGTGGGGGGTTTTATTTGGTACGATTTTACTTTATGCAATGCAAAACTTTGATTGTTGAAAGGACACTAGGTTACATACTATTTGAGATAAGAACGAGCTAAAATATCTTCTTGTACCTTATTTCTATATATATGTTTCTGTCACCTAGCTAGTACTATTGCACTTACCGAACTTCAAATTTTGGACGGACCAAGATCATTCTTTTAAAAAAAAAAATCTATTTTGGGTCCTAACAAAGTCATTTACTATTTACTATAGTGGTATTATGTAAATTTCGTCTAATGGCTTGTAATTATAATTTCTTATACATCAAATACAAGGTAAACTTGGGGATTGAGTGGTGGTTAAATTTCACCCCACGTTCAGATAAGTGTAGAGTTTCGATCACTCTGTTTCTCTTCAACCTTTCCAATCTCAATACTCAGCAGTCAGCACTAAAATTACAATTATCTAAACAAAATCACAAAGTGAATTAGGACTTACCAAAACTGTTCGGAGCCCCACAGCTTTCCCAGCAGCTATGTTCCGAACATTGTCATCAAGGAAGAGCTAAAAACATACACAAACCAAAAGAATCAAACTCTGAACCACAACCACTAAAGCACATAGATCAAACAAATAAAGGATAAGAGCATACCGTGCGACAAGGCTCGACCTGAGCAGCTTCAATGGCGATATTCATTGCCTCCATTGAAGGCTTCAATATCACCGGAATCTCATTTGGCCGCATTGCCTTGGAGAGGTTACCATTCATAGTTTCGAAACAAATAATTTGTTCAAAACAATCCTTGATTCCTAGACGATCTAGTGCCTTTATTGCATGAATTCGATCCGAATTCGTGAAAATCTGCACATTTACTTTATTAATCAATCACAAAGTCCTTCATAGCATATTATTAATCAATCATCATCCGTGATCAATAGATCGCAATTTGAATACATTTGTATAACTTACAATTTTCCTTTGATTAATACTATGCAAGATGCTTCTTAATTGAGCATTCGGTTTAATCAATTCATACGGCAATCTTCCGTGCACATAGCTGTTCAGGAAGAAACAAAAGAAAAATTTCAGAAAGAATAATCTCTTTTTTTATTTTTTATTTAAAATAAAGTCATTCAAAATTGGGGAACGAGGGAGTCAAACTAAACAGTTTTTCTGAACATGTCTCACCTGTGATAATCATCGGCATCAATATCATAGCCTAACGCCTACAGTAAAAACAAAATAGATTGAAGAAAACAATTAATCGAATGATCTAGAATTGATTAATTGCAAACTATTGAAGTATCAATTAAGAATAACTATTGAAGTAGTATTAAATATTAATTAAGAATTAAGGCTAAAAATAGGAAAATTACTCGTAAACCGGCGAGAGAGCTGCCGTAAGTTTTGAAAAGCTCAACACGCAAAGCCGATGCTTTCGACTCCGGAAAACCACATTTCTCCACCAGAAAATCTGTTTTCAGCCAAACATCACAATTTTAGATTAAGAGATCACAGCTCATAATGTTTAATTACTTTAATTAATTACACAATCGAAAAGCAAAAGAGGGAAAAAAAGAACAGAATTCAAACCGTCAATGTTCTTCTTCAATGCTTGGCCAATTCCAGTCTTGGACGAGTACAGAGTATCATCCAAATCTAAACAAAAATATTATACAGAAATATTCTCAGATCACTCAACATATCTTCTCAACAAAACGAAATGAAAAGTAGGACTATTAACTATAATTCACACAATTCAACATGCGATCACGGAAATATTTTGAACTCGTCATCCACCGACAAAAAACTTGCATATGATTAAACGAATAAACAAAATTTCTCTCTAACAGCTTAAAATTATGAATGATACAGTTCATACAATTCAGCATAAACTGATACTCTCATTTTTAATTTATGTGACACTATTTTTATATATTTAAAAATAATTTACTTTTAAATTTCTATTTTATTCTTAATGAATAATTTATAATCAAACAAATGGTTACAACTTATTTTGAATTATAAGTTACAATAATATTTCTTTCTTCTTAAATTTTGTGCTCGGTCAAAGTCCAAACACCTATGGAAGGAGTACTATAGACAAGATAGCAGTTGAGCAAACGAACGTACCAAAAACAATAGAATCAAAAGGGGAAGAAGAATCACGAGAAGAATTGGAATATGAATCCATATTGGAGAAGGACGAACTGAACAAAACTATATATATATATAGAGAGAGCGCAAATGAAACTACGCAAATGTTAGCTGAAAGTAATTCTTTCTGTTATGTGAAAGGATGAGTACACGGAAGGGGCCTTTGAAACGGGGAGGTAAAGTGGGTATTTATAGGAGTTATAATAAGGTGGGGAAGAGACGTAGAAGAAGATAAGGACAAGAATGGGAATAAAGAAAATGATTTGCTGACTCGGACATCCTTAGATGACAACGAGTGTAATTTGACAGCTGATGCAATAAAGAAAGTAGGACCCACGCGTTGTCCAATGAGAGCAGCGCTACCTAATGGTTAGCGAGAGGACAATAATGCCCCTAATTCCATGATTGACACGTTGCTTCTGATTTTTTTAATAGTTCTAGAAAAGGAAAATATAGCAAAAGCGTTATATTAAGACAAGTGTCTTAACCACAAAAAGCCAAGTGGTATTGCTAAAACAAACTGAACTACTATTCTAACTAATTTTTCTTTTTTGAATTTTAAATTAATTAGTTTCACTACTTGAATTAATAAATATAGATATCTTATACTTATCGATAAAAAACGAAAATACAAGGAGAGTAATTTCTTCCTAATATAGTAGTAGTAGTAGTAGTAGTAGTGTGTGTTTGTGTGCGTGCGTGTGTATATATATGGGAGTAATTATTATACTATATTGGTAATTTATTAATAATTAACAATATTAAGTAATGGATAATACAATTAAATAACCAAGAAACACACACACACACACATACGTATATATATATATATATATATATATATATATATATATNAAAGGCTGGGTTAGGGTTGACTCTAATGGACCTTTTGAAAGAAAGTTTTCTAGTAAAAGACTATGATCCCTTCTTTGATATGCCAATTTTAGCCACAAGGCTAGTTTTGCAAACATGGCCCCTTCATAATTCGGTGCGAACTTTGAGCCGGGAAGGCTTATTTTGTGACACTTCTCAACTTCGCCCATTCGATTACGAGGATAGCCCTTCGACAATGAGAAAAATATTCTAAGGCTATCCCGGTAAGAATGGCTCACAACATCATCGACACTGAATTGACTTATTTTGACTGACTGCATTTATTTGACTCCCTCGCTTTTTTTCCTCTCTTTTTTTTCAAAATAAGGCCGGACCTTATGTAGGTTGCCTACGTATCCCATGTCCGATGGGAATCAGACCCGCGTAGTTCGGCTAAAAAATTCGGCAGAGTTTTGGGGTATTTTCAAGCACTGGTTTTTTTTTTCTTCTTATTCTTGATTTTCCCCACTCTTCTTTATTTTGCCGGTCATCACGTACCAAAACAAATGAATGTTCACATAATACGTAGGATGCATCATGATGGCCTGTTATTTTGGGGTACACCTGTCCTAGACGGACCCAACCCCTGTGTTGAGTCCCCTAAGTCAAAGATGCATGTGATGCAGATAAGCGCTCCTACTAGGGATCCGGCATGGGGCTGTGTTTTTCTAAGTTTCAAACACCTGGGGTTTTGGTCTAGACTTGGGGTACCCGAGCGGACAACTGGGGCCGAGGAGGGGGCGACGTACCGGGAGCACTGAAGTCTACCCGGCCTTGTCGCTTGCCCAGCCTCGCTCTATTTGGTATATTTTTCTAGAAAAAGTGGGCTACGCGAACGTATGCACCATTTTATTAAAGAAATGCAAAGGGTGGCGTAAAAAGACAATTATATACAATTCAACAATATTAAAGCGGTAAATAGATAGCAGTTGGCACAAAGGTTCACGAAATACAACAAATATCAATAAAAATAGGCCAAGTAAAAATCATGAAATAAGCTCGAATTCTTGAACCCTGAACCAGAGATTCTGGGTTCGATCCCCAGCAGAGTTGCCAGAGCTGTCACACCTCCTTTTTCATTACACCCCCGTAAAGAGGGTATAATAAAGGGAGTTATTTCCAACTTGAAGTGACAATCGAAACGAGATCATTTAATTAAAAATCAGAGTCGCCACTTGGGAGATTTATGGTGTCCCAAGTCACCGGTTTAAATCCCGAATCGAGGAAAAGAATGACTCTGTTATTACAGTCTGCGAATCAGAAATCCGAGTAAGGAATTCTGTTAACCCGGGAGAAGGTGTTAGGCACTCCCGAGTTCCGTGGTTCTAGCACGGTCGCTTTGATCATACTTGGCTTACGAAAATTGTTTTAATTACTGATTTTAAACCTATGTGCATTTGTTTCTTTCACCGCTTTTAATTAAGAAAATTAGCTTGAAACGGGTTACGCGTACGTATACCCACTTGTTTGGCGCATCAAAAGTCATGTCACGCGAACGTGTCCACAATTAATAACGTTTTATTATTATTAAGAGTGTTTGGGCCGAAGTTGCGCGAACGCATACTCCGGTTTGGTTTTAGAAATGTAGTTGTGTTACGCGAACGTATACGCAACCACACTTGGTATTTTAAACGGCCTTAAAGGATATTCTACGAAATATTATTTTTATCTAGCCTACGAAATTACTAAAAGGCCATGTGTGATTTTAATGAACTTACGTGAACTAAAATAATTAAAAGCTTGTAACCTATTTATTATTAAGAAAAGGTTGAGCAAAATTGCGCGAACGCATACTCCGNCTACGCGAACGCGACATAGGTCATGCGAACGCATTAAATGAAAATCAAGCCTAGCCCTTGGAGTCCAATAAGTCTATGCGAACGCGACAGCCCTGACGCGAACGCGGTTAATAAACGTGTGAAGCTACGCGATCGCGGAGCACTAATCGCGAACGCAATGAAGAAACTTGTCATCCTCCAGAATTACTCTACGCGAACGCGTAGAGGAGGATGCGAACGCGAAGAAGGAATTGGGACCTGCACAGCTGAAGGATTTTCTGCAACACTTGAAACTCCAAAATGCTCCGTTGAGCATCCGAAACACACCCGAGGGACCCAGGACCTCAACAAAACCTACGGACATGTCCCATAACATCATTCAAACTTGTACCAAACCTTAAACCACCTAAAACAACGCCGGAAATACGAATTAATCAAGGATTCAAGCCTAAGAACTTCAAATTCCAACAAAACACACTTTCGATCAAAAACTTAACCAAACCTCGCCCGAATAACCTGAAATTTTGCACACACATCCCAAATGACATGATGGAGCTACTGCAACTTCCGGAATTCCAATCCGACCCTCGGATCAAAAACTCACTATCGGACCGGAAACTTTAAAAATTCAAACTTCGGCATTTCAAGCCTAAATGAGCTACGAGCCTCCAAAATACACTCCGAACACGCTCCCAACCCCAAAATCACCTAACGGAGCTAACGGAACCATCGGATTTCCATTCTGAGGTCGTCTTCACACTGTTCCGATTACGGACCATCTTTCAACACTTAAGCTCTCATTTAGGGACTAAGTGTCCCAAAACACTCCGAATCCTAACACCGAACGTCCCGGCATACCAAAATAGCAGAAATGAACTTAGGGGAAGCGGTGAATGGGGAATCGGGGGGTAAATTCCAAAAACGACCGGCCGGGTCGTTACATTCCTAGAGGCCCAGTTTGGTGCCACGTGTCAAATGACGTGGCGCGCCAAGTCAAGCGAAAGAGCCAATAGGATCATGCCACGTGTCAAAATGACAAGGCATGCCCAGTCACACTGGAAGGCCAATGAAATCGTGCCACGTGTGCAAGCGACATGTTCTGGCCAATCAAATGCGGCCATGTCACCCTTCAATTTGATTGGTCCGAAAGAGTTTGTTCTTATCATGACTCTTCCCTTCCACAACTATAAATAGGGGTCTTCATAACTCAAAAAAGGGACCTGAAGTTACAATAAGAATCAAGAAAGAGCTCGTGGATCAAACACTGAAAATTCCTCCACAAGTTTCAAGCTTCAAGCAATCAAGTTCAAGTTCAAGCTCAAGAACAAAGAACTGTCACACCTCCTTTTTTCTTACTACACCCCCGGAAGAGTGTAATAAAGGGAGTTATTTCCAACTTGAAGTGACAATCGAAACGGGATTCATTTTATCAAAAATTCAGAGTCGCCACCTGGGAGATTTATAGTGTCCCAAATCACCGGTTTTAATCCCGAATCGAGGAAAAGAATGACTCTGTTATTATAGTCTGCGAACCAGAAATTCGGGTAAGAAATTCTGTTAACCCGGGAGAAGGGGTTAGGCACTCCCGAGTTCCGTGGTTCTAGCAGGGTCGCTTTGATCATACGTGGCTTATACAATTATTTAATTACTGATTTTAGAACCTATGTACATTTACTTCTTTTACCGCTTTTAATTAGAAATTTATCTTGAAACGGTTTTACGCGTACGTATACCCGCTTGTTTGGTGCGTCAAACATCATGTCACGCGAATGTGTCCACGGTTAATAACGCTTTATTATTATTAAGAAGATTTGGGCCAAAGTTGCGCGAACGCATACTCTGATTTTATTTTTAGAAGCGTAATTGTGTTATGCGAACGTATACACAATCACACTAGTATTTTAAAACGGCCCTAAAGGATATTCTATGAAATATTGGTCATTTTTAATATCTAGGTAGTAAATCTCATACGAGGGCCACGCAATTATTATTTTTGTTCGGCATGGCACACCCCGAAATATTCTACTTAAAGGTTTCTACACTAACTCGTGAGGGTCGTGGATTATGAGTTATCTAATTATAGCTCATATCAAATTATTTGAAATGATCTAACTTGAATAAAGAGGAAGCCCAAAAGAACTCAAAAATGGCATGTTAAAACTAAAGCTTAAAATGAAATAAATAAACAATGGTCCATTTCCCTTTGGGTCTGAGCCCCATGACATATTGCAATTATAGAATTCACGAATCGAAATAATTTGGGCCAAATTCGCCAATAGGCCCAGTTCGTACATGTGTGGGCAGAAAAGTGGAGATTCAGGATCAGCCTTCTTGCGTTCAGGCCCAGTAGGGCCCAAAATGAAACATGGTATCATTAATAAAAGCGAGACGCAAGTTCGAATCCATATACCAAACATAAGATTAACCTTTAGCATTTCACATTTTAAATCATCAAACAAATGGACAAAACTCTGGGTCATGACCGCTGAAGCACTAAATAGAGACGCACTTTACCGTTTCATCTT